AATCCACAAACGTCCACAATCTCATATCAGAATACAGAATGACTGAATAACCCAACTGCTGCAGGAGCATACGTTTTCTCAAGGAACTTTTAATCATAAGGTCGAGAGAAATCCACTCATTCGCCAATGAGAAATCAGTGGTGGGAATGGAAATAAACACTTTTTTTTAAACTTCTTTTTAACTGATCTACACTTCCACATTACTCTTAAACTTTCGGAGCCTTATTCTTGTCGTTAATGCAAGTGACTGTCACTCAGTGAGGCGCTTCTCGCAGGAAAGTAACACAGAGCACATCTTGCTTCACGCAGTTTGAGGTACAATCACAGAGCACAGTGATTTTTAAAGAAGTGAATCAATGGCATGAGGCCCGACAGATGCTTTTCAAAGATAACCAGCGTGTCAAACATATGACGTACCGATGTAGCATTGGGATTCATCGCTATCTCCACCAACAGCTACTGTGCTCCCCTCCATCAGAGCCATGACCCTCTTAAAGTGTCGCTGGTTGATGATGCGTCCGTAGTCCTCAAAGGTCTTCGGATCATCAGTGTAAAACTCCTGTGACATAAAACACATGTACGAGTTTCTTCAGATCGATTCGAGTTTCAACAAAGAAAAATAAAATTACGATTCCTCAAGACTAAGGATTAAAAAACTTTGGTAAATCTTTTTACAAACATAAAAGCATTGATGAAATGAAATCGTGTAAACTTTCACAAAGATATTAAGATGTGAGTATAAAACACAAACATTGGATTTAAAAAGAGCTCAAATTTATCTTACTATTGCTACTATTAAAAAAAACCCATTTAATTACTGTAAAGCTACTACAAACTTTATGTCAGACCAACCTTAATGCTCTTCTTAATCTCCTCCACTACTCTGTCCTGGATGGAGGGTTCACACAGAATGTAGTCTGGAGCGATGCATGTCTGACCACAGTTGACAAATTTTCCCCATGTGATGCGACTGTGTTGATAATAAAAAAGTCTTAGACACAGTTTTATGTTGTCATGTAATTATTAAGAAAACAAAAGCGGATATTCATTGTGTATGAGAGAGACTGTGGACCAGTTACAGTTACATCAGAAAACATAAGTCACACACACAACACACCCTCAGAACATCTGATCTTTAAAAGTCCAGATAGCTGCTTTGCATACTTTACTATGAACAACTCCAATAAGATTTACTGAGAGCTTTAAAGTCCTGACAATGAGCAGGAAATGTATTATTTGTAAAAATGAAACTGACCGACATGCCACAGGGATGTCACAGTTCTTGTCAATGTAACAGGGACTCTTCCCTCCCAGTTCCAGGGTCACTGGCGTGAGGTGGCGAGCTGCAGCCTCCATCACCAGTTTACCAACTGTGCTGTTTCCTGTGTAGAAAATGTGGTCAAATCTCTGCTTTAGCAGCTCCTGGGTCTCTGACACTCCACCTGTCACGACTGGGTACAGGTCCTAGAGAAACAACATCCAGTCGTTAAAGTTCCTTGTACATTTTCCACTCAATGTAAACGAAGGTAAAAAGAGTTAAAGCATCATATCAAACGAAGCGGATGAGCTCACTTTATCTATGTATTGAGGGAGAAGCTCCTCCATGACCTTGGCTGATTGTGAGCTGACCTCAGATGGCTTTATTACTGCTGCATTACCTGAAAGATGAAGAAGAAGCCATAGATCACAGACGTCTTTCATTTGTTAATAACATAAACACAACACAATGGCAGATGATGACAATCCTTAATCTTTGCACACAATGAGATACCAAAAGATTCTTTGAAAAAGATTATTTGTTCAATTAACAAAAGTACTAGTTATAGTATAGTTAGAAGTGTGTAGCAATGTAAATATGTGCACAGATCCTGGCCTCTACCTCCCTGCTCTTTATTTTGCTCCCTCTCAGACCGGTCTGTTTCTTACGGGTCCAACTTTAAGTAAATACGCCATCTTGTGGTCAATCTGCATCTAACTAATGAAGTTCTCTGTTAGTGTATACGTTGGTGTACATGAGTGTATTTGGTACCTGCAGCTATAGCACCAACCAGCGGCTGGAGTGTGACAGCCCAGGGGTAGTTCCAGGCTCCAATAATAAGCACCACTCCCAGGGGCTCCGGCTGGACGTAAACCTCATCCTGTAGAGTGAGGAGGTTCTTCTCCACAGGTCGAGGAGCTGCCCACTCTGCCAGTTTCTCTATCGCCAGCTTTATCTCCCCCTCCAGTCCCAGCGTCTCAAACAGCTCCGTCCCATTTTCACTCTGAAAGACCCGAAGTCGGGTTGAAACCTTCAGTCCCAACACCAAGATCTTTCATGTGTCCCACACACTCTCTGATAAGTGTTCTCTATAAACTATGATTCAGTCTACACGTTCATATTTAAGTATGTGTTTGGTGAAAGAATGATTGCACTTGATTGATTCTCCTCAATGCTGCCAAGATTCATGACCGCTCTCATAATAAACACACTTCCAGAAGTGCAACTGAATAGATTTAGCCAACTGCATTCTGTTATATTCCCTGACCTGCCAGTGCAGCCGCCACACTCTTCTGTCAGTACATCCAGTCTCCTGAGTTTTGACTGACCCACCTTGCCCAGGTCTCTTTTAACAGCATCTGCAATGTCCTTCCGTCTCTCGGTGATGAAGCGGAGCAGACTCTTCAGCTGGCAGATCCTGTACTCCAGACGTTTGGTGTTTCCTGTCTGGAAAGACTTCCTGGCCCGTTGAACAACAAGCTGTTCCCGCGACATCTTTAACAGAAACGATGATACACAAAGATGTTATAAACTATTAACCCTTTAAATCACGCCTGGCTAATTTTTTTTAAAAAACTACATTTTGCCAATTGATAAAATGATGACGCTGCTAGAAAAAACGAGAAGACTGGTAAAGAGCTGTGTGCACACAATCCACAGAACAGAAACGTAAAGCTTCACTTTAATTCCACAAAGATTTTATTGTGTTGATGCTTAGATGTTCAGTGTGTAGAATTTAGTGACATCTAGTGTTGAAGTGTCATGTTGCAGCTGAACACCCCTCACGTCACCCTCTCCTTCCAAACATGAAAAAGAAACTGTGGTGTTTAATTATCATAAAAACTCAAAAGGTGTTTAGTTTGTCCAGTCTGGACTAATGTAAAAAAACATGGCGGCCTCCGTAGAGAGGGTCCCCTCCATGTAAATATGAAGTATTTAAATATAAAGGGCCTTTTCTGGACTAAAGAAAACTACAGTTCATACAACTTAGATGAAACAAACATCATGAGGATTATTCTACATTCAATTTCAGCCAATGGTTCCCTTTCACCTACATCTCACACACTGGAGCTTTAACTCTTATTCCATCTGTGCAGCTCAGAACAACACGAGGAGAAATAAAAACCTCTCAGTCCCCTCACATGAACTCTCTGCTTCAGCTGCACAGTTTTAAATCCTCATCACATGTTCACTGTTTGTTCATGCTGTGTTTGGCTCTCCGGTCACGTGGTGGTGTTGTCGGAGGTTCTCTGGGAGGAGAACCAGTGAAATAACGCCAGCTGCTTTAGCTCGGTGGCTAAAAGCTGCAGCTGACGGCGTTAGAAACAGCGATTAGAGCCACAGCACGTATTCGAGTGTTAGCTGGGTGACGTCACTACAAGCACACACGAAGACAAGCTTTTAAAGAGAAAGAGGTTTTACCTTCAGAGCTTCTCCTCTTCCACCAGCTCGGATGTCGTGCACCTCGTATCGACACAGTTATAAGCTCGTGTTGTTACAGAAGCAAACCTCCAAGTGGAGCCTGCAGCGATTGGTGGTTGAGTGCGTCACTGAAGAAAAACAGCCAATCAGGGCCACGCATGGTCTGCAGAGCCCCTCCCACCATAACAACTGTCCCAATGTGTCCCCAGGCTGCGTTTTGTCTCTGCTGGTGTCCAGGTGTCTCACACCAGCTCCTCACAAGCCTCGTTACTTCAGTGAGTCCTCCTCAACACACTGTCACTGTGTGTTGTCTGTGTGCTTTCTTAGAAAACTCTGTGTTCATCCTACCTGGTTCTATCTGCAACGAAGTGAATGCTTCATCACTGGTCGTGTGTGTGTGGTTTAGATATAAGTTGAATGATTTACTTAAGTGTTTTGTGTTTTCTTTACATTGCATGCGTAGACGGTATATGAAGATCACATGCTGACATAATCTGCAGACCTAAATTCACAACTTTTCAAAATAAAAGCTATTATAAAGCATTCCAGTGACAAAATAAATCCTGTTTACTCTTGTTTGCACATTGTAATAATCATTAATTGCAATAGAAGGACAATGTGATATGCACAATGTAGAGAATGTTACTGTCACGTTGTACTAACACCTGTGTAGCTGTACTGTGTACGTGTGTACTGTACACAACGGAGGAAAGAAACTTAAACTGGGTTAAGTCATCTCTTCCACAAAACCAGAACAAGTTTGGTTGACAACATTTACATGAGGCATGCTGGGTAATGACATGCTGCAAATCCCTCCGTGTTCCCTCATGTTCCCTCATGTGTGTGTGTGAATGCTTCACTAAAACACTTCAATGCTAAATTGTTGTTTGTTTTCTTTGCTGGAAAAGAAATTTCTCCTCATACCACTTTGTGTACTTGGAACTTACCCAGAAGACTTTGTTGTTACTGTGATGCAGCAGTTGTAGATAACCGACTTGAGACATACAGGAGCCTGTCCTGACCTGAAGACTGTTCAGTGATACCTTGATATATTCTCTCACTCAAACTGCTTTTCACTGTCACGAATATTACATTTTATAAGGCTTCATATTAATGTTTATGTACAACAATAGAACTGCAGCTTAACATTCAACATAATGTTGAATCATTTGTAATTATAATCATCATTATTCTAATTACTACTACTCATCTGACATCTCTTTCAAAGTTAATTTATTTACTTTTTCAGTTGTGAACTTTGCACCCACACTAAGCTGCACGGTATCGAGAATAAAATAAAAACACAGGCAGAGGTCTTTGTTTTTCCTCTCTTTAATAACAAAGACTGTATTTGAGTTCCATAAAGAACAAAGAGAGACACCCATCGGTGGGAGACACAAGTATAACGTTAACATTTCTCTTTAAAAAAAATCTGCACTTGGAAAGCTGTTGCATTTTCAGGGTTGTGACTGAAAGTGGGGTTCTTCAAAATGCATTCAAATCGAGCTGGAGAGGCGCAAAACAACAGGGAACATACATTCGAGATTCTAGAGGTTCTAGGGGGTGACGTACAGTCGGTACCCATGCTTTATCTAAAACAGTCCATCTTCAGTGACAGCTCATGGACACAATGGAACAGAGAAAAGATTCAGGTGGGTTTACATCAGCTATATATCAGTTTCCCTCCTCACTCAGTGTGCAGTGACAGGCTTCATGTGGATGAGGGAAACCGAAACCCAAATATTTCTAGAAAAAAAAAAAAAAACAGTACATCAGAGAAACAGGCCCAGAGTCCACTGGTGCCTGTGAATGGATGAATACACACAGATTGACATACATAGAAAAACAATGTATTAACAGCTGTACAGGAGTAGGCCTATGTCTGCTTTCACAAGAAGAAGGTAGCTCCTTTTCCATCTTTTACTGTTTACTACTGGCCTTAATGCACACCTGGCATGTGTGTGTTTATATATACACACACACTCATAGATACATACAGTACATACACTGTTGGGAGGACAGCAGTAGACTTGAGGGGAGGCAGAGGGACTACGTGGATACTAGGCAGTGAAGATTGTGACAAATCAAGTCTCACAAAATTTTATGAAATGAGCACAAAATCTGAAGACATCACACTTATTTCAGAAAATTTCATAAGATTCACTGAACAAATATGTGTGTGTGTTGGTCTCAACAATGAACAGTCCTGGTAGAAAGAGTTCTCTGGGAAGTTTCAGAGCTGCCATAAGTTTTAGTTTTATTTGTTGGCACACCCCTGTTGTGCCACAATAGGTTTCTTTATCAAACCCCTTGGCAGACATGAATAAAATGTATCAAATTCATCTATGTACATATAAAGATTTGTGCTCATTGACTGACAGGCAGCCTGTCTGATGGCATAATCACCGACAGGCCCAAAACTCAAACTATGATCTCGCAATCACACACACACACACACACCACTCCCCAAAAAAGGAGAAAGGATTCATCGCATGAACATACAAATATTTACAAGTTTGCAAACATCAAGTTTTGTTAAAAAGTAGCTACAGATACTGAGAAAACATAAAAAAAAGCTGTAGTATTTTTTTTTTTTTTTAGTAGATTGAAACTTATTGTTCAGGTAACTCGTCAAGTAATATGACCGCTCAGTTTCGCAATTCACTCGATCGGGGGTTTACAGTGAACATGTCTTGCTGTTTAGCACTGGAACAGGAGAAGAGTCTGATACCACTGCAGTGGTTCTCAGCTTGCGGCTTTTTGCTGAATACCTGAACGTACAGACCCTGTGACAATGTGAGCAGAGTGAACCGTCATCAAATTCACCTTAACCCCTCCTCGCTGTGAGCAACATGATCAACAAGTCACCGTGGAAAAAAAGGGAAACGAGGGATGTGACAAACGCCGAGCCGTTGTTTCTACTTGCTGTCACGAGCGACAGTTCTGAATTCAAAGTGCAACGTGAAGCTGATTCGAGCCGATCAAAGCTTCCCAGCCGCTTGGTTTTAGTCCATTTATCAAACTATTTAAAAAAAGATGTTTATTTCATGTTTAAGAACAATCTCATCCTCTCAATAGCAGATAAGGTAGAAGTGTTATAATGACGAAACTGTAGACCATTCTTCACATGCTCGACACGCTTAATGGATCTAGAATTAAAGGGATATTCCACCAATTTAGTATATTACACTTCCATAAAGTCGGAGAACTGCCAGATAAAGTTTAAATACAAATTCAAAGCAGCAGGGGCTGAAAGTATAGTTATAAGCCCTCATGTGATGGGTCAAGCTCATTTATTTACCATAATATATTAGCTGAGAAATTCCACACCACAGTTATTAAGTGGGTTTTTTCGAGGCCAATTCAAGACAACCTTGGTGACATCATCATAGAGGTATCAGCAGTGATGACATCATCATGGGTTATTTTGTCTGACATGACAGAGCTGCTGACAGAATTACAGAGGAAACTACACAATTGTTTTCAGACCATGTAATACTCCCTGTTATGAATTCTAATTTGAGAAATCAGTGGAATGCCCCTTTAACTGTGAGTATTTAAAGTCCAGGTAAGTAGTTCTATCAAGCATCTTGTTAATCTCTGATAGTCACTGCCCCAAAAGGCTGAGGTGTGGCCTACATGTTTTGCCAGAGAGCACCGTTTCCCTGCCCTGTTTTCCCAGGATGCTCTGCCTTATGGGAAATGTATGCAGTGGATTTGACGCTCACGAACACAGAGCAATTCAGTCTTGAGTGTGAAAGCAGGAGTGATTAGAAAACCCATCCCCTGCCTTCGTATTTCTACCTATAGGACTCCTCCATCTCCGACTCTCAGTCCACTATAAAGTGCTTGACCCCAAAACATGAGAAAAATAAAAACAAAGCAATTATAAATCCAAAATCCACCAACTGCTTGCTCTCGTGGCTGTGTGTTTCTGTAACAGGATCTCGTGTTCTGTGTAAATGTCCGTGTTGTTTCCGAGTTGGATCTGTTACAGTGCACGGCCCAAAGCCTTTTGCTTTTCCTCCATTTCCTTCCACTTGAATACTTTAGGTTTTCAAGACAGGCAGGAGACTCAAACACCCATGTTCTTCTGAACCAATAAATAAGAATAACAACTTAAACAGAGTTGATAACCACTGATTTCACATAGTAAGTAGCATTTAAAAAAGATGAACTGCTTCATGTGGAGCTTGAGTCTGTTCAAGTTCAAAACGTTTGCGTCCACTCTCTTTTCTTCTGGTAAAAAAAACACAAATTAAAATCCTCGATAAAAGAACATGCGCATCAAAGTGCATGAATTATGTCCACATCTGGTTTCAGCCTTTTGTTTCTGGATCCGTGGTCATCTTTGGTTGTAAGTTTCTGCATCAGTCACTTGTTACAGTTCGTTCTGTGATGCAGCCGATAAAAAGAACCGATGATAAATACAGATGAAACCTATCAAATGAAAAAGTGCTTGACCTGCTACAGGAGGGAACAGCGGCTCTGTGAGGATGGTTCTCAATAGTCTTAGGACGTGGTCCCTGTGCGTGCTTGCGTGCATGTGTGTGTGTGTGTATGTGTGTGTGTGTGTGTTTATGTGAGCTCTGCTACTCATAGAGTGTGACAGTGCAGTAGCAGAGGGCTGAGATCCTGCGGTCCACACTGGCCTTGTCTGCGGGGAAAATACACAAAACAAGATGTTATTAATAAAAGCTGTTGCAGAAAACGGGAGTAAAACAGTTATTAGTTTCCTCCATGCTGATAAACACTTCACCCACCCCTCCATCGACATCGGGGTGAGGAGATAATGAGTGAAGTTTCATTTTTGGGTGAACTATCCCTTTAAGTGTTGGGAATGGGAAGACTGGTTGTACATGTACCCCTCAGTTTGTATCTAAGTACAAGAAGATCTGTGAGAGCAACTAGTGCTCGTACATGCCACTTAACAACTTCTCTGTTCATACAGCTGCTCAGATGTGTGTGTAGGTCGGAGAGTGTATTTTGTACTCACATTTGACGACATTCTCAATGTCAGTGGGGTCCTGTAAGATCTTGGACAGGCCATCTAGCAGCATGGCGGCCTTGCTGTAGCGGTAAGCTATATCCTCCGTCTGCTTGAACATCTCGTCAAGAGCTGCTGACTGAACCTGACACACAGCAGCAGACATTTACTGAACATACTGTTCGAAACAAATGACACGTAATGCTTAATTTCTTTTCTCTCTTTAAGATTGGAAGGTTTTTGGGGTTTCCGTGCTGTGTCGGACACTCACTATCTCCACGGCGTGATTGTAGATGAGCTTCTCTGCAGTGACGCTGTTGATCTCATCCACAAATCGCTGCTTGTCAGAGAAGAAGTGGTTGAGTTTGTCAGTCAGCTGCCGGCAGAGGGAGATGCAGCTTTTGTAACGCTCATTCAGATTCTTCACCACTGAGAGAAGAAAGGGAAGAGGTTCAGTATACCTAGACATAAATATGTTTCATACACAAAACCATGGTGACATTCTCCTGCTGATGAAGTGGGTGAACAGCAGTTTACAGTATAATACACTCATAGGAGATGAAGACTGAGATGTCCTCACCTTGTTTGACAGCAGTGGAAGGATTGAGCTTGGCTGATTTAATCTGAGCCTTGGCCAGATGGAGGGAGGAGGCCAGCAGCTGAGCAGCCTTCATGTAGAGAACCAGCTGCTCCACCTGCCTGTAGAGGGCAGCACAACACAGTATATAAGAAGCATGGTCAGCACTGCAGCAGCACCACTGAACAACAGGCGCAATAAGACTGCGTGATATTATCAAAGACTGAAGTCTAAACTTTGGTCATTTCTTACCCCCACTCTTTGCTGAGCTGGCTGATCTGGTCCACAACCACACTGTCCTGGGGAGGGTAGAGGGACGCAGCTGACACTCCAAGCTCCGTCCCACCGGCACGAACTGCCGCCATCTCCAGCACGCAGTCAGTGAAAGAAAGCATCATCCGCAGGTGCATCAGTGTGTCTGTATGCTCACGCTGCAGCAGGAAACATCAAGATGAAATGTAAAATCAGATAAATGATTCACTGAGCGGCTAACTGAGGAACTTCCATGTTGAGGGAGAAACCAGGTTAGTCTCTCTCACCTCCATTAGAGTCTCCTCAGGCAGCTCAGGTGCTTCGAAGGTGATGAATCCTTCCAAGCTCGGAGGGGAGGTCCCATAGGGGACATAGCGCAGACTGCTCGGGGCCCCATCTGCCCCAGGGACAGCCTGCCCACCCCCAAAGCCTCCTGGAGGAGAGGTGCCTATGGTCATGCCTGGGGGAGAACCGACATAGATCCGACCGCTTGTGGAGCAGAGGGAACCAGCTGAACTGTTGGATCCCACTTTTGACATTGACAAAAAGAGAAGAGGCACATTTAACCTTTGTTATCAAAACTCTGCTGCAGTACCACACTTCATCAACAGGGTCTGACTTCAGGCTGTAAGAGCATAAAACAAATCATGATAGAAATACTACTGACGTAAGCTAACTGAGGCAAACTAACTTTTCCTCCTTCTAGCTGTTAATAGCTCATTTGTTTGCACGCTAGCTGTGCTAAGGTGAAGGGTCCTCACCAGAGGTGGTACGTGGTCGGGTGCACAGATGGCTGCAAGCTGGAGGAGTGCTGCTGTTAGGTGGTGAACCCACAGTGAAGAGAACAGTACGGGGACTCGCTGACCCACCCTGAGCGAGACCAATGGGACCTGCAGGGGCTTTGGGGATACAAAACATAGAGAATCTCTTTTATACACACATATAACTGCACTGTATGAAGTAACAGTAGTTCATAGCAGATATTTCATATGGATGAACACATACAAGATAACTAACACAATCTGTGTAAAATACTTTTCAGAGTTTGTGCAGCAATATACTCATACCTGTGTCCATTGGTCGCTCTGTGTTCAAGCTGTCAGTGCTGCCCTGATAGGCTTGTCCGCCCAGATTGATTCTGATTGGCTGCTCAGACAGACGACCTGTGCTAACAGACCTGCAGGGAAACCAAAGGCAACGTCAGCACAACATCAAAACGCAGAATAACTGACGTCACATGGTAGATAGAACCACAGAGGAGGGGTCACAGTACCAATAAGTGTACTTCTGATCAGCTATAGCATCATGGACAATAACAATCCATTCATGTATATTTATTTATCAGTGTACCTTAAGTTAAGGTAGAGGCTGAGATGTATGGAGACATGAGATGTGTTTTTCAGTGAGACCCACCTGCCAAAGGTCCTACTGGCCTCAGGGGCAGCTGGCCGGCCGGTGACGTACGGGCTGCAGTGGTGGGCACAGATATCCCGGGCATCTGCTACGGTCTTTGTGGGCACAGGGCTGTCTGCCAGCGCCATCAGGTTACAGGACGCCTGCGTTTTGGGAATTTTAAACGGTGCCAAAATGATCTGGATGAAAAAGAATTTTAGAGAAAACCTCAATTACATGTTCATTTTTATTAGTAGTATTGGCCATCTGCTGACTCGCCAATCATTGTGCTCACCTTGGTAGGAGAACCAATAATGGTGGGCAGCGGGGACTTCTGCAGCCAGTCGGACGTGCGGGGCGAGGAGCCCAGCAGCTTGGTCGGTGAGGAGCCAAGGTTTGCCGGTCTGCCGAGCTGAGGTGAGTGACTGCAGGAGGAGGAAGGCTGAACGGGGTCTGACAGCTGCTTGTGGAGCTTCTGCCTGGTTTGGTAGACATCAGTTAACGTGGGGGCGCTCTGGAGCCGAGCCCCGAGGAGCTGGGAGGACGGGACAGGGGAACCTGAAGAAGGTAGAGAGAAAAACTCTAAATTAGTTTAATCCTCTCATAATCAACCCAACAAGAGAGTAATAAACAGTTAATAATTATAAAATAAGGTTGACCATGGACAGTGCATCTTTGTTAACATCCTCTGTGGTCAGACGAGATGTCACTGTGTGTCCCCTGTTGTCTCTCAACTGTAGCTGTAGTTCTGATGACACATTTATGAGCTTTGCTTCATCAAACTTTTTCTGACAATTCAACAAAGTAAATAGTGCTGAGACTTTCCTCACAGACTGTGTTGGTCATAAAATCTGGTTGGTTTTGAGACTTTCTATCTCAGGGGACAAAGTCCTGCTGTCTGTCTGACTGAGGCTTTGTTTCAGACAGTACATTGTTGCGCCCCCCCCCCTTTTCTTTTCTTTTTTTTTTTTTTTTTTTTAAATGGTCACCATGACAGCAGTCCTCTCGCCACAAACAGTTCTGATGTTGTGATACGTCTGAGGCGTGAATGTAACAGCGGCGTCAGATACTTTAAAAAGGACCTTGACTCATGGTGACTCATGCACTTTGACAATAACAGAGTCATGACGCAGAGAAGAGGATCAAAACAATTTACTGGAGCTACTGCTAATAACTCACTGATTTATTCAACTTAAAAGCTAAAGCAAGTGACCACATTTGGGCTTTGTAGGGAGCAGCTGAGGGTTTTGCCCGTGAACTGACCTCCTGAGGAGCTCCGGCTGCGAGGCTCAAGGTTCTGCAGATGACAGCAGCATTGACCCAGCTGCTCTGGGATGGTGCCCACTGAAAACAAAGTGATTTTCAAATTGTGAGCTTCGAGACATGTCCAGCTCACGTCCAGAATGTGTTACTGATAGACCGATGAGCTTGAAGATATGTCTAGACATGACCTTACCAAGAGGCGAGGGCGAATATGGCCGGGAGCTGCCGATAGAGAGGCGTCGGCCCACTGTCTGAGGGACATCTGCAGAACTGGGGGACCCTGAGCCCACTTTGGGAAACCCCATTGGACTAGTGTTGGAGCGCCTCACTGTGCCAGACCTAGAGAACACACAAACACAGATATGAGAAAAATGCTTTTATTTAACATTAACCAACTAAAAGAGTTAAATTAATTATCAATGATCAAATAATAATTTAGCAGTACATGTTTATGCTCCAGCATAAACCCCTTGAGAAGCTTCTCCTTTTTGAGAGGGTTTCAGTTTTTTTAGTAAATACAACCTGTGACTTCTGCGAGCGCTGTACACAGAGTAGATCTGAGTCACACAGAAACAAAGAATGTGTGGGAACCTCTGCTGTGGAAAATGCTCATTTGCACAGCTCATTTCCATCCCACAAAATCTGCAGTGAGTTGTTGTACATTTACCAGACTGACTTTTAAGCGACTTAACTGAGAAACAAAACTAAACACTTAGTAGCACGAGACGCTGGATTTGTTAAACTGACAGATAATATTGCTTGTTTGACAGAGCATTATTCAGATCTATACAGTGAAGGTAAATAAAGAAGTTCCCTCAGAGTTTCTACCTGCCATATTGTTGCTCCATACAGTGAGAAAAACAATGTTGAAAAGGCTCTAATCTTACCCTGAACAGACTGACAAGACAGACGGGCTCAGGAGCGAGACAGGTGAACAAAGAAGCAGAGCGAGGGGTGAGAGAGACGTTGACTCTAACCCCCAGAGACATAGACTGAACAAGGTATTTATCTTCAGACATTAATCCTAATCTTCAGAGCTACAACCGCAACAAATGGCAGATGACAACGCAAATAAACCACCGGTAGAACACATACAGACACCAGCACAGCAGAGCTTTGAAATAACAAGCACATCACCAATACAGTACAGCTGATTACAATCCACAGTACCTCTTGTGTTCTCCTTTCAGAAAACAGAATGGGAAATGGAAACAACTGAACTAATCTGTCTGCGAAACAAGTTCACCCCCTTTCTCTCTTCTCCTCACTCCCATCTGCTTTGTCACCACACGAAACCTCAGACAATCCTCCCAGGAACAGGTCAGGAAGTCACAAATTCAGGCTGATGTAATATTAGTCCAACTTTGCTGCTGATGAAATAACATCCTGGGTTTTCATTACATGAGTCACTCCTAAAACTTCTCTTCAATAATTGTTGAGTTAAACATTAGTCACAAGTTCTGCAAACAGGTGCTCATTCCAGGTGTTTGATTACTAATGACCGTGAGGAATAAATAAATCATGCAGAGTCCAGACAGGACTGACATCATCCTCAGACCCAGCAGAGGCAGCTCTTACCTGGGGGAGCCGTAGAGCGTGGTGGTAGGGCTGCTGGAGAGGTTTTGCTTGATCCGTTGGTAGTTGCGGACCTGGGTGGGAACAGGGATGGGGGTGGTCTCGGCCCGTGGGGACACCATGGGAGTTTGTCCTGGGGTGGGCTGCGGCTGCCTGGAAGGGACGAACCGGGAGAGGCGTACGGTTAGCTAGTCCACAGAAGGCTGCTGATACTTCCATAACTGCAGGACATCTTCAGGTTGCCAATAACTATTTAAATCTTCAGAGGACTGCTGCTCGAGTAATGAGCAGGACAGAATAATTCTTAAAGTAGGGACTTTGTCTCTGTAGCCGCGAGGTCTTTGTTTACTTTAGTATGGAGGCAGGTTTAGGGACTAAGTGTATCCTGGGAGATCATGAGGGGAGTCAGTGGGTGCAAAAAGGGGGCTGGGCTTCCTTGTAAACACAAAGGCAGGACCAATCAGCTTCAAGCTTATTCTGCTGGGGGAAGGGTTGGAGGCAGGGCCAACGAACGGCACATGCAAAGGCTGGTTCTCTGTGTACAGCAGACACAGGAGGGGAAGTGAAAAGAGACAGCTTAATTTGCATTCCTTTGTTATTCTAGAGGAGACATAATGTTCTAGAACACAAAGTCATGACCTCATCACCACACCGGGCCTCTGCCTACATATTGAATGCAAAAAATAGGAGGAGTGGTGCAGGAAATGGCCGTTAGAGCAAAGCACCAGTTGGAAACCAGTGTTATGTAATGATGAGAAGCCTGGGTGGGTCTACAGGGGAAAGAAGAGGCGGACACGTGAGGCAAAGACAAGTCCAGACAAAGAACCAGGGAGCAGTTTCTTTCTCAGAATCTGCAGTTCCGAGATGTAAACCTCACCATGTGCTGTCCTGCTCCACACATCCAACACTGATCAGAATGACATTTGATACCGTAGCCCATGATCGAGGCTATTTTTTGTCCAGGTTGTAAAAAGGATTTATTGATCCAAGTCAAAGCTCAACATGGAGTGGAAAACTGTTCCCTCATTATCAAGAGAGGATTTGTAAGTCAGTGAACAGCAGAGGGGGGATGGGGGATTAAACCATTTTAGCATATATTCATTTCTCTTTCTCCTCATCTATCTCCCTCACTTCCCTACCTTGACTCTCTTGTCCCCTTTCTTATCTTTTGTTTTCCTTTACAATGACATCCCTCCAGCCACCCTGCTCTTATCTCCATCTTCCTGAACCCATTTTCTGTCCCTCTTCCTTCCTCTTTCTTCTTCTTTGTCACCAATCAAAATAGGGCAAACAGACGACAGAGGATTAACAAGGTTCTTGGATAGCAATGTTCTTGTTTCTAAATTGTAAGGGGCAACTGAAGAAAAAATAAAAGGTTTGTCTCGTGTCAACGGTTACCTAATTTATGTAGGAGCGTGTTATTAGTATGGTGAAAGCCGTTGAGTGGAGAACAGATGGCATTAAAGAGTTGTAGAAGGATGAGTCTGACAGAACAGCAACAAAATCAAAAGCAGGTGCAATTAAGAGGGAACGGAGAGGAGGGAACTGTTTTGCTTGAGGCTGTTGACATGTGCAAAAGGTAAAGTGTTATTCCGTTGCTGGGCAGTAAATTACCGAGACTAATATTTGAAAACAATGCAAAACCAGAGATTTGCATCTTCAGTGGGAGCCAATAGGATTTGGGCTGAATGTCACGGACAAAGTAGTGAATGTACTGACAAACTGACCAACGCTTGTTTGTGTTGTTGGCAATGCAGAAGGGAAAGAGAATAATGCCAGCTTTATATTTCCTAACCAGGAAAGAGAATAAACAAAAACAAAGAAGTAACAGACGCCAGGACTTTCCGAGAGAGAAATAGCCTATCTTGTAATGTATGCATTTTCAACTTTTCATATTTGACCTAAAGCTAAATTTCAAACCAATTTCACGTGCTACATAAAATGGAACAGCAGGGGATTAACCGAAGATGAAGTCAGTTTCATGTGTATTTGGGGTAAACTCTTCTTACTGTGGTTGCAGAACCTGTGAGCTAACCAAGACAACACAGCTGAGGCACCGTAATAACAGTCACACTCTGTTACTGCAGATGAGTTTAGGCAGCTGTGTGAAGTTATTCTTATCCCACAGCCCTTGGTGAGTCGCGTACTTTATTTATCACAGCACCACCCTGTTGTTTGGCTGGTCTGATTCATAACTCACTTATCGTGCAGATTCAGGGGTCAAATGGACAGAGAGCACAGGCGAGGCTATTTTACTGGTAGTCCGAGAGACAGAAATAGTAGCACCAAGAAACAATGGAAGTATCATTGACATGAGAACACGTGACATCATGTGTATGTGTGTAAGGTCAAATCATCTATTCTTAAAGGCAGTGTGTCACTTGCAGCACCATGTCACACTTCAATAGCATTGTCAGTGTATTTTTACTCTGAGTCTGGTGAACCCATCAGAGGTGGGGCTGCCAAATATTTCAGGATCCAAAATAGTACCAGAGACTTGTGACCACCACGGAGGCACAAAGGATATTTATCACCAACACAATCTTTCCTATGACTCTGTACACTGACCTGCTTCAACTGATGCTGCATCTTATCTGTCGTAACCTCATAAAACCATACAATTTTCAGAAAGATTAAGAGAAACAAGAAATAATGTGTTAATTAGTGAGCTTAACAGATGATAATCAATGAATTGCGTTACCTATGGAAAGAATTAAGCTAGTTTATATTCTGCCATTCACCAAGTCTCACCCGGAAAGCCAAGAAGCCTATTTTATTGTGTGCAACAGTTTTGATGCTGACTAATACTGTGCCAGGGTTCCTTAATTCTTTTGTTTATAGCTTTGAGCAATGGCTCATTATTATTTCAACTAATTGAAAAAAAACAAACATTATAAGATCAATTTCAAGTTGATTCCAAAGACGGCATGGCACTCACCCTCCACACATGAGGAACTCGCTGGACGGCCGACGACCAGCTCCCATTGGTTGGTCATCTGCAGAAGTAATGAAAAGAAAGAATGAGGGTGGTATAAAGAGCTGTGCCAAGAACTAATAAATGATGATGCACCATCGTCAGTTATTAGCTAATTAAATGCCAACAAAGCTTTGCGCTTAGTTGATTGTGTGAGTGGAGGACCAGCAGGTGTGTGTGCATGTGTGTTGCAGCAGGTGCAGATCACGAGGATTCATTTTACCAGTCAAGAGGGTAAGTGTGCGTGCCTACTCTTTGTGGACTGTAGTCTACAATTACAACATGAAATGCTTAGCAGCTGTCTAATTTACAGGCTGCGGATTTAGTGACATGTGCTGTGTGTGTGTGTGTGTGAGTGTGTGTGTGTGTCACTGGCAGGTACTGAATGAGACTGCAGTCTATCTGTATTGTGGATGTGGTATGTTTCAAGATCCTTGTACAGAACCGATCTTGCACGTCCATCTGTTCATATATTGGACATGTAAATGAATGTGTTTATTTTGGGTCCAAAACTCACATGTTGTTGATACTGTTTGTGAACCAGCATTCATCAATTTGTCCATATATATATATATATATATCAATATCAACGGACATAAAGTGCAAGCAGGAAAAGAGACCAACTCCCTTTCTAATAATGTAGTGAGTTAAACAAAAGGAAATACAGGTGTAGGCACATCATGTACAGTATGTCTCATAGAACTTACAGCTGTCATTAGAGATGTGAGGCACTAAGACAAAGTCGTCAGTGTCACAGGACGAGTTCTTGCTGCTGGTACTTCCTGCAGACTCTTTGGACAGCTGCAGGAAGTTGGGAGGACCGAGCGGAGGGGAAGAAAGTCCATCTTCTGCAAGAGTCTGCATGTCTGGCAGAGACTGTTTCCACAGACAGAGACAGAGACAGAGAACAATGTTGTAGTGCGGCTCCTGAATGATGAAATTACAAGAGTTCCAAGCAAGGCAGTGCTGACTGTCAAACTAATGTAATCATATAGTTACAGAGAACACTGACATCCTAACAAAGTGACTGGCCCTGAATTCTCACTGCTGCTGTGAGATCGATCTGCTCGTTATAAACATCTCTTTGCACAGTGGCACTTATTCTGGGGGACACATTATGCTCACAACAATCATCTGTAAACTTGGTTGTGAAGGATTTGATATGCGATAATTCAGCTTGTAAAATTATGAAGTGTGAAATTCTAAGAAGGCTCTGTCAGTTTCCCCCTTTCGACACAGTTTTCTTTCAGTACTGTTTGGAGCAAACAAGCACAGAAGGTGTAATCCCCTCTGAATAAGGATTTCTAATATAAAGTAATATCAGACTCACAGGAGGAGAGTTGTAACGAATGCATGGAGAGCTGCCACAGGAACAATCCGTCACGGTGTTGGTGGCGCTGGGGACCGGCACCGGACATGCTGTGGCAAATACACAGTTAATGGTGTTTTCATGCTGGAATATGAGAATGTGTAGAACAGTATGTTGTGCTTCTCAGGAACAACACCTCGGTACTTACATTTTTTAATAGCGGGTGATGGCTCCAAGAAAGGATGGCTGAAAAATGTGTCTGTAGAGGGAGGGGTTACAAGATCAGGACACAAAGTATATGAAACCAACGATACATGTGGCATGTAAAATTTAATATGCTGGCACTCACCGAAGTCCATCCTTTCTTTCTGATTCCTCTGCAGTAACCCTAGAAGAAGATCGCCAAGCTGTGGGGAAGTCTCTCTCGGGATGCTGGGTAAAGAGAGCATGGGTACATTAGTTTCTTTTTTGAAGGCTGCAAAAACAACAATCTTACAAGTTCAATGCGTGTCACACTGTGCCAGATGGATCTGATAAAGTCTTCGGATGTCTGGGGAAAATATCTATTTGTTTACAAAATGTCAACGTCCCAGTGGGACAAGAGAGACATTTAAAGGATCACCAAACTCAGCAGGCTTCATTGTCTGGTTATTGTTGGTTTCTGTGAAAAACTTCAGTTAAGACCAAAGTGGAGGATCAAATGGCCACGAGACAACAACCAATCCCGAAACAGATGCAAGCAGAGATATTTCATTAACAGCTTCTGTGACTTACATAGGTTGTAGACTCTTGTTCTTCTCGTAGAACATCCTCAGGTCTTGGGGACTATTGGCCTAAAAAGATGAACATGAACAAATTAGATCCACACTTACACACATTTACAAACACACTTTTAAACTTTGTTGCACACAGTATTGACCTGGAATGGTGGCTTGCCAACCAGACACTGGTAGATGACTGTCCCTATGCTCCAGAGGTCGGCCTTGGCGTCATAGTTCTGGGACATGATTACCTCTGGGGCCTGAGGGTGAGGAGGTCACAAGTTAAGCTCAACAGTAATTAGGAGTTATGTAACATACTGCTGAGAAAGCTGACAGGTAATTTCAAAAAGGCCTGACCTAAATAGCAATTCTACACACACACACACACACACACACACAATATATACAGTAAGACACACTGACCATGTACATGGGTGAGCCACATAGCGTGGCAGCCATCATGTTGCTCTGGAGGTACCGTGCAAAGCCAAAGTCAGCTGCAGGACAGAAATATGAAATAAACCGGTTAGTAAATGTTGCTATGACAACAAACATAATACAGTGTTGGGCGACGAAGAGCTATTTGCCTGATGGTCAAGGTCATTTACATAAACATGTTTAGCCACTATGCTCTCTTCCATGGCCAGTGTGATTGCCTCTCATGCCACTGTTGACCAAACACATTGCAGGCCACTTGCAGACAGCATGACTTTTAGGAAGTGCACAGTTTTTATTTTAGTACACAGTTACAGCTAGGTCAGCATTTGAAAGGTTGGAAATATACTTTATTCTAGTTGTTAAGACTCTAGATAAACAAGCATATAAAATCTAGAATGTATAAATCTATGTACAGAGAGTAGCTACCACAAAGTTCTTAGGATTTCATGAAAAGGTGCACAACAAGACTATAGAGGACTCTTTCTCTCTGACTCTGTTACCTATTTTGATGCGAATGCCGCTGATGGTAGACTTCTTGCGGCCGATGTACGACAGCAGGATGTTCTGAGGTTTCAGGTCACGGTGGATGATTCCTTTGTTGTTGAGGATGCGCATGGCAGCAGCAATCTGCTGCAGGAAAACCCTCAGTGTTTCTTCTCTCAGGGTGCCCTTAGCTAAAGAAGAGGGGAGACAAAATGAAAAGTCACCCAGGATTGTCATTCAGAAGACATTTGCTGATGCAACAAGTTGAGATCTCTTTACTCTGAATAAGCATCTTAAGGTTTTTCTATTGATCTCATTCAGGTGCTTCCAGCCGCCTTATGAAGCACAGCACTGCTGCCTTAACATAAGGCAAGTGAAAGATTTCAGGACAAAAAAACATGTATGAGCGAGTGGACATGTTATTTCTGTACTGGGGCTGCTCCTTCATTATTTCTACACTAGAAAGAAAAACATCTGCTGTTCCACAGAAAGTACTTATTAGCCTCAGTAGATTAAATCTTATAATTAGCATATTATAGTAATAATCCTGAGGTAAATAGTGTAAATTAGGGCAGTGAAGGTCCTATCCCCTAGTGGTAGTGAAATAAGTCTAATCTGCTGTGAAACTAAGAGGATTCCTCTCTCTCCCTCTTTCTCTCTTAAGCCATTGTGGTTGCAGTGTGTGCATTGATCAAATCAGTAAGAATACCAACATGAATCTAGGATATGAGGAGTTAGTTGCTCTCTGCCCACCACAGTGGACCAACTTCTGAGATGGAAAGGTGGTGTAACAAGTTGTAGAATCATTCACAAGGAAGATCCTTTTATATTATGAATTGTGATGATTACCTACGTGGTGTTCAATGCCTTATGAAACACCTACTGAAACTCAAAGTGTACACAGCAGCCCTCCACTGATAAGAACACAGTCCCTGGGATTCACGAGTTCACCATGAGGAGCTAGTAGGATACGAGCACTGTATGAACTCTGTGGTTTTATTACACAACCACCAGCGTCACTCAAGCACAGGCTGCTAGACTACTCTACTTCTGATGGCTCTGACCATGACCCACTCTGCAAACTGTGGACATATGGGACATTATGCAAAAGTACAGTGATAAGGGAGCAGCACAATCTGTGCTTTTAACCACCGGTGGTTATCTAAGAGGTGTATTGGCAAACTGCCATTCATTTGAAGGGATTTGAGATTCCAACAGGTGAACCACTGTCTGAACCGGTGGAGAGAGAGCAATGGGGATATCAGCCTCTGACTATTTTACATAACTAAAGTCCCAATGTACGACAAACATACTGGGATGTCACGGTAACAGAGTGGATGACACCCATACATACGCAGGCAGGCAGGTCGGCAGGTCGGTTAGCAACAGACCGAATTAAATGATCATGTTCAGTCCTGCAAGGGCCACATTTATTTATTTTTTCCCCCCAGACAACTTTATTGAGGGCTATCAGGACAACAAGATTTCATCAAATAAGAATAAAAAGTGTCTCAGAAACAACGTTCCAACCTTTAAACCTCTCTACCCATTATTTATCATTTCAGCTGAAGCTGACTTGTTCCTCCTCAACCAGAACTGTTGACCTTTGTTATAAACTATCACAATGATAAACAGTGTGCTAGCAGGCTCTGAACTAGAGAAGGAAGTCTTTGTACAAAGCTGCAGTGGTTCCCACACACTCTCACATCCCCCACGTAGAAAAAATTGAGACACAAACACTCACCCTCTCTCCCACACACACACACACAGACACACACATACACAATCATGCTCTTTAACATCCCAACATAATACCGATTTACAATATTCCACAAGCTATCCCTCACACATTAAGTGTGCACATTTTATTAACCCTGCATTCACCACACTTGTAGACTCTGGGATTTTCCTCATCTGCAGCATTAGTAACTCTGTTTTGATAATCTGTGTGTGTGTCAGACAGATGTGTGTGATGCTTACCTTGCAGATAGTCAGCAAGATCACCTCCATTACAGTACTGTGGGGACACACACACACACACATAATCACTAACCACAACAATTGAAGGTTTAACAATATCATGCTCAGAAGTTAGTTATCACGGGTATGTATCTGTTTCAGTGTGTCTTTGTGGATGTGCAAGAGTGTTTGTTGAAATCCTAGCCGAGATACTTGCAGCCTCAACAATTAATCTGCTAAAAGACTGTTGCTTTATCTTTGCTGACAACCTCTCCTAAAATGCAGTTACTTCTCAAGAGGGACAAAAACAGACCGATGCTGTTGTTGTGGTGGTGAGTTAAGAAAACCTGAGCTGCTGAGTGGATAAGAACAGACAAGTGAGACTGAATGAAGTTATGATTCTTAATCTGCTGCAGAGAGATCCTGGTGTCATTTTTAAAGCAGAAATGAAAATAAAGGGCTGGTCTTAAAGTCAAGTCAAAATAAAATAAGATTTCAGTCAAAGGCTTACGAGGAACATGATTCTTAGAAAGCCGAGGCGTGTATTTTTAGTGAGTAACTTGAGGTGTGTTTTTCAGCCTGCAGTCAGCTGAGAGAGTGGGGCCAAACTAGTGGAGGGAGCCGGGGAACGCCGAGCTGAGGCTCTCAACAAGATAAAAGAGGAAATGTGGACAAAATGTGAGGGTGAGATCAGTGCAGCCTGTCAAATGAGGAAGACAACTATTATTGGAGGTAAACAACTGCCCTTTAATAAATATTTAGAGTGGTACTTAGTGGTAATTAGTGCATGTACTGCATTTTATAATATGTCATCACTTGAGTTACTTTTAATGAAGAAAACCCAGTCAAGTGACTAATTGTTGTTGTGAAGAGTATATGACATCTGTTCTGGAAATATACACACAGTCACGTTTCTATGCTTACCTCCATGACCAGAAAAACAGAGTTGGGCGTTTCCTGGAACAGAAGAGACACAGAATCAGTTACAGAAGCCATTTATCCTGGAGCAGCTGTCAGCTCCACCACACAGGAAAAAACTGGATAAAATCCAATGTACACAACACCAGCACTTGCTATTTATGACCACCGGGGCTTTTTCAAAACATGTTTTAAGAGTTGTATTTGTATATTGCATTCAAAGAACTGTATGTACTTTCACTCCATGAGTACAAATGGTGGTTAATGGCTTAGTAAATCATCCTAAAGGAATTTAAATAACTAACTGTTATGAGTATTTAATTTTTAAAGGTTTTTTTCACACACATTTTATACAGTTGTTATACAATGCTTCTTTAATTCTGTATCAAACCACCAAACTTTAACCAACATTTTAAGTAATTAGTTCTAGGTACTGAGACACTGTGACTGAAATCAGGAACAAAAAGTTTTTGTTTTTTTTCAATACCACTTTATTAATTAGACTGATAACATATTAAAAACGTTAAATCTTTTTAGACTAGTCAGGAAGTCAAACTATATTTCGAAATATTGCAGAGGAGCTCAATTTTCGGTTGCTAGGATCTAAGAGAAGTTCTTACAATGTAAATTGTTAGATAGTTATTGTTAATGATTATAAATCTATTACCTTGCATAAGGTGGACGCCTAATAAATGTAATATTATGTAATGTAAACATAAGGAGTTTTTCCATCACAGACCCAATGAAGTTTTGGTAAATGACCAAACTCCCAGCAAATCAAACCTCAGTATTATTTTAGTATTTAGGCTTTAAACGTAGTACTAGTATTTATACAAGCTATGAAGTTGATGCTTGCTCCTTTGAGAGGGTATAGTGTTTAATGAGGGATTTAATACGTCCAAAATCCAAATACCGCTTTGGTGGATCAGTCTTACAGAATATTGTTGTGTGAATGTATATGGAATCGAAAGCAATGAATCACAGCCAGAGGGATTTTAATTCTGTTCTTAGGAGTAGAACAATCCAACAAAAGGCAATCCAGAATTTCTCACGGTCTTCAGCTCACTTCAAACACAATGTGACCACTAGTTCAGACACTGTGCAAGTCAACTGACGTCAGACCCTATGCTAAAGAGCTTGTTTGTGTGGTTGGTAAGTAGCTCAAGTCTTATCCAATCCTATAATGCACTGTAACCCTGAACGTATCTAGATTTTACCCACAGGAGCTGTACGCTTGAACACAAATGTCCCCATAATTGGGACATTAAACAGATTTTTCCCTGCCAGCTTGACTAGTCCACTTGAGTCCAATTTGTGAACAGAGTGGCCAATAGATCCCCTTCACCTTAATCTTACACAATGGACCTTTAACAAACGTCTGAAAAAGCCAGCATGCAATGTTAGAAAAACCATAATCAAAAAAACACCAGTTAAGTCTATAACTGGCGATGATGTTGAACCATGATTCTGGATCATTGTGGTCACTTTAACCCTGATGTGTTTGTATGTGTCTCATAACATCCAGAGTCAAGATGTCCTAATAATAACCTTTTAAAAAGGTCTTTAAAACACCAAAAAACACCATTTACAAAAAGAAGAGTATTAGTATGGAAGTATTTTCAGTCGGTTCTGTGTTACGTTTGTGAAAGGACACACTCTATACTGTGATATTCCAATTAGGGGCAGGTGGTTGTGGGGGATGGGCCACCAGTATCCACTCTTGACTGTATGTGCCCGAGAATATGCATGTGTATAGAGGGGAGGGGGAGGGATTACATAATGAGGCTGTATTGTGCAGTCTGGAAAAGAGGGGGGATGGGAGCAGAGTCAACATGAGGCCAGGGACACCTCTGCTCCATCTCACACACACACACACACACACACACAACTTGGCCATCATCAACACAAACGTGTCAGTGTCATGGAAGAAAATTGAATCGACAAACAGCAGCGACTGAGGGTCATTTTAAGAAGACCTGCTGCTTGGAGGAACATTTCATTCAGTGTGCTTTGGCACTTTAACAACTATCTGGCGGCTGCAGTTTCCCCAGTTTGGTCTGTTGCCTAAAAGTCAAGAAGCGAGATGAATTTCAAGAGGCAGGTGGGGACGGAGGCACATAGGGCGGCCTTTGCTTGTGAGGGCTTTGAGAGAGTAGCAGTAATGAAATTGACAAGTGATCAACGTGTTTACAAGAACTAATGTTTTCTGGAGAGGACACACTGTCACACATGGGCCACATCTGGAATAAAGCTACTGGACTTTGGACATTGATGAGTTGCTGTAAAATGAGAGCTTGGTCTCAAAAACATTCCCTTCCAGCATAAACATTCCAAAACAACTATGATATAAATAACACCCCTGTCATCATAACCATGTCACACTCATGCAACAGGAAGAAGCTGTTTCGCAAGCAACAAAATCTGTAGGTTAGATTTAGAGGATGTTTTTGTTATCCCGAGATGTGAAATCGAACAACACAATACACAGGCACCGAAAAATATGTGGCACAAAAGCACTCAGAACTTCCAAGGGTCAGTGTGAGCTACAAAACAACAACAGTGTTGCTGGTTATTCATTCAGATATTGCGTCACACTTCAACTCCAGGAGTGAAAAGTTATATAACAACATGGGGGATGGGATGGTGGAGGAGCTGGGGAGACTGTGTGCGCGTGGTTGCATATGTGCGTGCTTGTGTGTTTACAAGAGAGGAGGAGGGGTTAAGCATTTATGGAGAGCTGACGTGCTTTTGTCATGCAAGTGGCAAGTATTCCGCACTTTGTCATAGCACCAGCACACAATGTCAGATGACACATGGAACACTTGTTATGTTCTGAGGACAAAAGGTCAGGATTATTTGTTTTTTTCTTATGTGACTCAGACACATATGCTGATGAGGCCACATTCTTAACACACAAATGAGGAGAGCATTCTGTACAGCAGCTAGCAACTGAACATCAGTCTGAAGACAAGGACAAACTGGTCGACTGGCGATTTCAGTGTAAAAAGGCACAAGTGTGTGACTGTGCCTTACTGAGCAGTAACTTTTCATGTGATTTTTTTTTGTCCCAGCCTGTTAAATACATGGAAAGCAAATCTCTGTAAAGGAATGTTGGACAGAGACCAGGGAGGTTCATACTACAAGTTTTCTAGGAAAACTCAATGAGCTCCAGAAACCCCCCTTGAAAGTATCCCAGAACATGTACTGCCACTCTTTCCTTTCAGCCCTCTCCATGTCAGTTCTGCCTCAATACCTTGTGTAATTAGGACTCACAAAAACACACACCGGGCTGGGGGGGCCCCTCTCTGGCAAGAACACAATGTTCCTCAAGAGCAATTTCACTCAAACACTTTATAAACAAAGTCCACCTCCCTCTTCTCCCGTTTACCTTTTACAACAACACCAATCTCCACCGATTTATTTATGGTTCAGTTTATATCAGGAGCAGAGGAAATAAGAAATCCACATGGTTGATATATATTCAGGTTAAGGGACAAACCAACTACAAATTCTGGGTATCACTACTTATACTACTGTACAGTAAAACTGAGACTGTGATATCGCAACGGTCTCCTCAAGGCACATGGAAGGTGCCCTAATGATTTTAAGGGACATTTTGAAGGATTGACAGTGAAGAATCTTCAGCCTCAAATCAAATGAAAATCATAATTAAGTTTTAATGTTAAAACAGAAAAAGAATAAACTATTATCTGCAGTGGTGGAGCTGCACAGTGCAGAATGATGAGAGGAGAGAGAGAGAGAGAGAGAGAGAGAGTCATGGGGCTCTGACATAGGACACCTTATAATTAGACCCATCTACCTCACACTGCTGCAGCTTGCTTAACATTAGCAGCTCCATGAAGGAGGACCTGGAGCTGCTCAGCTGTGCCTTTTAGACTGTCATTAAAAGCAGCAAACGAGCAGAGCTCCAACAAACTAAAGTGCCGTGAATAAACACCTTCAATCTGTCATGGGCGCACGTACTCCCACCACCAGCGCTGCAGTCTTTTGTCAGTGCACTTCTTTTCTGAGAGCCAGGAAGGTAGCTGAAGTTAACAGCATTCACAAAAAACAGACGCATACATTATTATTATTATTATTATGTATTTAAACATGTGTATGTCTTATTAGTTTAATTCCACATATGATTTAAATAGAACCTACCAAATATCACTGATAGTTACCTTTATATAATAACTCCATATATTAAAATGATATTTTTCTATATTAATACAGAATAATATTCTATATATTTTAACTTTATTCAACGATGCTGAAGTCAGGCATACAGTACACTGAAAATCTGCAGAGGTAAAAAGTCCTGAGATAGTACGGTGGTGTTTTAACACCTCACTTCAAACAAATCAAACGTACAAAGGGACATGAGCAGTTGTACTCAGTGTTTATTCAGTGTCCACACCGTCACAATGCAGCCTAGTGAATATAGTGCCACTATACACACAGAGCACTGTGAACCGTCAGTTGTGTGAGCTCACAGAAGAAATTGCGATATAGAATTGGGTTTAAGCTTTGCTAGTCCAAGAAAAAATGTAGATGACGTAACCGTCACAGGACCAAAATCTGTTTGATATGACTAAAATATCTTTGTCACATCTTCAAATTGATATGAAGTTTTACTGCCATAACCCTACAGTGGAAATGAATTGGTTATTTGGGTTGAACTTTGCCATCTATCAAATTCCTTTACTGGAATCCTGTTCAACGCAGCGTTTTCGGCACAAACGTTCACAATAGCATCAAATCCTCTGCATTATTCAGGCAAGAGGTGGAGCAACCGGGCGCAGCAGACATAGGCAGGAAGTGATGTATTAACTCCGAGGTCTCGTGATTTTGTTATTTTCATTTTTGCATCTGCCTCGTGTTGGAAGTGTCATCAACCATAACAACAACAACAACTGCTGATGAATGAAGGAACTTGAATAAGGAATGGAAACAATGACAAGGGATAAAAAGAAAAGTGGTAGATCCCAGCTGGACTTAGTCACGAAGGGGATGCAATACACCAAGGTCTACCGAAGAAGAAATGCACACCATTACACTGGCTACCAGCAGACAGATCAATACAGAGGAGGGGAAAAAGGGACAGGAAGACTCTGTGGCTAAAGCTGCACCAGACCAGCTCAGTGAATGTTACAGACAACAGAGGCAGAGAGGATTTCTGTCATGTCAACACAGGGTGTGGCATCACCCAAGTGTCTGCAAGCCCTGCAATTCATGTTCAACTCGAAACAAGGTCATTTGTTTTAAGCCTTAATGTCAACTGGAAGTAGCTAAACTAACAGACGTAGTGTGCCCGAGGGTCTGTGAATGCACCTTTGTAGGAAGATATCAGTGAATATTCAGGCTTAAAACACGATGCAGATGATCTCGTTTCGAGTGGAACTTGAATGTTGGGGGCTTGCGGACACTTGGGTGACGCCACACGAGCAGGAAGGAGGCATGTTATGTTTTCTCTACTGTACATCTGAAGGAGGAGTCCCCACTTCAATTGTATCGGCTGCTACAAAGTTTACTTCTGAGACTCCAGTAATGTTTTGTGGACTCAAACACTTTCACCCACCCCTCCAGTGCATAGTGGTGAGTAGATGATAGATGCATTTTCATTTTTCATTGAACTATCCCTTTAAGTGATTAAGGTTTGAAGTGAGTCAAGAACACATTCCCCACAAGATCACATCACCAGCTTGGACCATTGACACAAACAGTCAAACCACAATTAAAGTCACTGAGGTTACATTTTTCATCTTAGTGATGTTTGATATGAACATAAACTCCAGCTCCTGGCCTGCAGGACTGATACATGGTACTGCTCCTGCTCCACTGTCATATTGGATAATTGCATGAATATGGTGTCCTGGTGTTCCTAATAAAGTGCACTTTGAGTGTGTATTACAGGGATGCTCTTGGTAAACTTTCATTTAATGCAGAAAAGATAAACATCCTACCTGGACATCGTAAAGTGCCACAATGTTTTCATGCTGCAGCTCCTGAGTAAAAACAGAGATGAATACAAAATGCATTAGCGTGTGCATTAATTCGGCTACAGCAGCTAATGGAATCCCTGCCATTGATGTCTCTAGCAGGGAAGTCAACTCTCCTCTATGTCAAAGGTGCAGACTCACACAAGGTCAATGTGAATCATTCTCGCAGCACACAGAGGAGGTAAGTGAGAGGAATCATGCTCACCTTCAGGATTTTGATTTCCTTGCCGAGAAGGATCTGGGACTTGGACAGGTTCTTCTTATTAATGCACTTAATAGCCACCTCCCAATCGGTCTTCTGTAGAACAGAGACCAGGACAGAAAGGTCACAGATTAAAACTTGACAGACAGACTTTTTAATAATGTGACACACACACACATAATATATGTATTCCTCCTGAGGCATTATTTTCAAGTTATATAACAACTGTCAGTATGTCTCATGAGCCAAACCATTAAAGTCTTATTACTCTTAACACCAAACAATTAGTCTTTGGTAGAGCCACCCATTTATTCCTTCATATTTTTGTAATTTTTAAGATCTGAATTGTTTTTTTTATTATTATTTGACTTCCAATAAAAATAAAAAGTGCTACTTTGGCTGTGATGCTGCAGCTTCTCCTTGTCTGTGGACACCTTTTACTAGAGTCAATTTAAATGTACAATTACTTAAAAGCAGAAGCAGAATTACTGGTGTAAAAATGTAATCTAATAAAAGTACATTAGTCAGTTAAAAGTAATCTGCGTTAAATTTACTTTGTTAAGTTTTTAAAAGAGAGAAGGGGAGTGGTCAAACTGATTCTGAATGACATGATAAAAACTTATATTCAGATCATGAGTATTATATAACGTTGGGTTCTAACCATATTACCCAGCCCTACTGACTGTACCTTTTTGATATCATTTGACGTGAGTGGATCAAGTCACAACGTGTGTGTACTTAAAGCCAAGCTGGGTGGCTTCGCAGGATGTAAGAAATTTGAGCCGGCACAGTAACACCAGGTCACTTTTGCTCTGAATGACATGCTGAATGACGAGGCACTCAGATGACAGATAGGACACTAGCCAGACTGCTTACGCTAAAATTTAAGTTCGAGGAGAGGGACCTATTTTTTCTCTGGGCAGCTATTTTCAGTTGAGCTCCTAGAGCAGGTATAAAGAGACTTATGGAGCTCATGTGAGCTGACAGGCACCCAGGACATGTGCTGCACATGCAAACATCCAACTAAGGACATGGAAATCGATCCAACAGAGTACTTGACTGTTTCTATGCCTTTAAGGAAAAAACACAAGTCAAATGAAGTTGACAACCATTGAAGGAATTCTGAGAATAAAGCGACATGCTTTCCACATGAATCTAGGTTAATAGGAGATGTTCTTGTTCTGCGGGTGCACACCGCCTAGAGGCTGGCGTAATACAAGGCCAACAGAGCAGCATCCATCCCCATCTCACTGGCAACCCGTTCAGCCAAGTGTGACTGAGCTGCCAACACACACCCAGAGAAAAAAATGGGTCACAATCCATAGAAATGCAAGGAAAGAGAAATGTTGATGAATTATTGTTATTCTTGAATCTACTTGAAAAGAAACCGCACTTAACCATAAGTAAAAAGCCTCACTGGTAACAATACGAGCGCTTCCTATATCTTGGAGAAAGTCAATCTGGTCAGGGGAGGGTTTAAAGGTTCAGTGTGTAAGATTTAGGTGAAGGGGATCTATTGGCAGAAATTTAATTAAAAATAATCCTAATGATGTTTTCACAGAGTTTCTTCTAAATTGTACAAATTGCTGTTTTCTTTACCCTAGAATGGGCCCTTCATATTTAAATAATTTATATTTCCATTGGCAGCGAGTCCTCTCTACGGGGGCCGCTATGTTTTTTTTTTAACACCTTTTGAGTTTTTATGAAAACTGAAGGTTTTCACCGAGGGTTATTCAGCTGCAACATGAAACTTCACCACTAGATGTCACTAAATTCTACACACTGAACCTTTAACATATCTAAAATTGACATGCTCCACATGCCATAACAGCTGCTTACATCAGTTTACTAAATAATAACTTTGATTTTGACTGTTGATGTAAAAAAACACAGCTGCTGACTCTATTAGCTGATCTGCATTGAGCCTATGCATATTAATAATAACTTGATATAACAGTGTAACAAGAGCCCATTTAAGCACCGTCTGAGCAATGAAGTCATCCATGCAGGTGACAATAAAATTCCGATTCCTCAAAGGTGGAGCTTGATCTGTTGAGGTCATGCAGATGATATGTTGATCACATGGCTCATCTGTTTGAAACATGACAGGGGGGCATGTGAGCAATGTGTGGTTACATGTTCCAGTGAAGCTGAGTCATGTAACGAAGAGTGACTGTGTTTACAGTGCTCCATTCAGTTCAGTGTCCAGGCTCCCAGTTATATTTTTGAATTCATAGAATTTCATTGAGCAATTCAGGAGCATCTGTTTCAACCCAGCAGCAACGGGGGCAATATGATGTCACCTCCTGCATCTCTGTCACACATGCACAAACAAACTATCCTCGTGTCCTGTGACAGAAATGTACACACAACTCAAATGTAATTATTCAAATGTAACTATCTTATGCCATTTCTGAGCATTACATCGATGGAGACGTAGGTTTTGTGGCTTCAGTAGGAATGAACCTTGTGCCACTCTTACATAAGGAGGGCTCGCATCCTTTAAACATGGCAAAGGAAAAACACTGCACCTCAGCCCCCCACCCTGCCTCAGTACGTCAGCAAGTCATTCAGTGCTGCCTGACTCATCCGTTTCATGAATGAACCAAGATCACATACAACTTACACAACAGCAGGCAGGAGAAATAACACTGAAATCCACTGTCACTGTACTGCACATGACATCAGGCTGCATCTGGATGTGTCGTCATTAAAGTGGCAGTGAATATTACCACCCTGAAAAATGGTGACAGCCCACATGCAGTGCTGCAGAACTGCACTGCTGCTAAATGACCCAGATTTACAAACCAAGCTGCCCTCCTTGTTTTTATTTCCTGCGAGAGGAGAAGATGGAGACGAGAGAAGTAAACATTGCACAACATCAGCCATTGCTTTACCTTCCTGTGTCTTCCTCTGAACACCACAGCAAACGCTCCGTGACCGACCAGGTCTTTTCTGCTGTACTCGAAATCTCCCACCGTCTCCATTGTGAGTGGGTCGAACGGTCCAGCTGACGCCTCGAGTGTCGGCCCTCCTCTTCACAGAACAGTCCCGGAGCGGATGATGCACTCGGTGCTGGCGATGCTGCTTCGTGCACAGCGAGTTATTTCATGTCAAGTAGCTCTGATGCGGATCGTTGCATGAATAAGAGACGCAGTCAGGACATGGTGCATTCACTTGCCCTGCGAGTGGGTCGGGATGTTTGTATTGTCACGCGGACCAGACGGCTTTGGGCATGACCAGCGACCATTCGGAGCTTAGCTTCACCCGCGCCAGCTGTCAGTGTTTGACCCAGTGGGAGAGCTGCCGTGCGGCTTCGCTCGCTAACACTGAGTGTCACCAGTCACCGGAGCTGTCCACGGGGACAGTCTACATGATGCCAAGCCCGCCGGACATGTGACCGTGCCAACGGCGAAGCGGACACCGAGCTAGCCCGACTGTGATGTTACCCTGTGGCTGCAGCCAGCGTCGCGGCCCATGTCCAGTCAGCGGGTCTCTGCGAACATGCTAACGGTGTCGGTGACGTTAGCAGGCGGGCTCACACCGAACCGCTCCGTCCGCCTTCGATCCGGAATTCACGCGTTACAGCGGGATGTCGAAGCAGCAGCAGCAGCAGCGAGCTAGCGTGTTAGCATCAATGACAAGGACGCAGCACGACTGTCAACACTCGTCTGGAGGCGTTAGTCCTCATCCTGTGTCTTCTCCAACGGGACGTCCGAGTCCATGGGACACATGTCTGTCCTCCCGAAGACACCGTCCCCTCGGGTGCTTCCTCACCGTGAACACTGTGTCCTCCACGGAGAGCTGCTGAGAGACAGAGTCGAGACGCAGGGACAGGTCTGTCTCATCACCCAGCTGATGTCTCAAACAATACTGAGACCCACCACCGCGCTCCTGCTTTATACTCTATCCCTCCGCGCAGGCCAGCTGTACACATGTCCTTCCGCCGCAAGTGTTAGTCCGCCTACAGAAGCTGCTGAAGTGTTGTTTGCTTCTTTTTTTTCTTGGAAGCAATAACCATTAGATGTTTATCTAACATTTACATTATACTGTATATTATAGGGAAATATCAAATGTGTTTGCCGCAGTTTACCAGAAGTCCCAAGATCGTTTTAGATTAGTATTTATATAAAAAAATATCTAGAAATAGATCTGGAGTGTTTCTTTTGTTTGCATGTTACATTAAAGTGTCTGACAACCTCTGAGACACGGAACGTTTCTTACACTTATTTATCATCGTTTTGATCGTTTGCAATAAAGAGAGTTGAGGTGAAACAGGAGGAAACTGTGATGAGCTGCTCAGATGGTGTGTTCCATTACGTTTATGATGTCACCTGATGTTGTAAACACAGTAGTCGAGTTGTGGATAAACAATAACTCGATTGCACATGTATGTATAAATCATGCTTGCTGTTGAACACAGGCTACACTCTGTCTAGATCTAACGCCCCCTGGTGTCTGCAAACACATACAATAGTGTCCTCAACACACTGTATATAACAAGGCCTGTATTGTGAGACACATAACAGATAAAATACCTCATTAACTTTTTTACATTTACCCTTTTTAGTAAAAGTAAATGAGTACTTATGCTTATATCATATAACTAGTATAATGTGTACCAATATAGAAACAGGATATTTAAACAAAGGCTCCCCCTCATCAAAAAAAACAATTTGTCCTCCAGTGATAGTGAATACACTGTTTGATATATGACCTTTGACCTTTTCACATTGGCAGTGCAGCCTGTAATATTATTTTTAAGAGCTGCATGTTAACTTTGCCAACTGAAATACAAAGTCCATGTGTCAATAAGGGCCATGTACTTGAATATGCTGAGTACTGCAAAAAAAAAATCATGTGTTCTTATGCAAGGTTCAGGGAAATTTGTGTCAAAGTACAACACTGCAGAAAACCCTTTTTTAAGATTAACACCATATTGTCTCTCTCTGGTTGCTTAAGTCCCTTTTTTTAAATAAAAAGAGACAAACACAGGACAAACGAAATAGTTGACGAAGTCAAAAGGTGTGAGTGAAAAAAGTGTTTATTTAGAAGTGTGTGGTCAAACAAAGGGAAGGTTTTACAAACATGAGGGAGGGGAGGACAAGGTGGTGGGTGTCAAAAAACTGAAATTAAAACAACAAAATACGTCTATTCTTAAAATAAAACAACCACAATGCCAAACTAACTTATCTAAAGAAGCAGCTCTCCAAAATAAACGGGTGACACCAACCAATAACGCTTGTGTGTCTATTATACATGTTACGCTGTGTGTGCAAAAGTGTATAAGTACCCCGACTCACCTAATGTCCAGACAAACCTCCCACCACAAACATAACAAATAGATGCGACAGCAAAACAGCGAAACAGCACATGAAGCAGCAGATGATGCACTTGAACACGTAGGACATGGTTAATGTTATTACACCTTTCTGTCCATATGTCTGCGGTGAAAAAGGAGCGTAATATAAAAGGCATTGAACATTCGCACTTTGTATAACAACACAAGAAACAGTTCTAGACCCGTAGAAAATGAAAAGAAGCTACAAGGTCTAGTTTCCCACAAAAACAGCTAGCTTCACTGAATACTAGAAAAACAACTGTACAACTAGCTCGCCACAATTATACTGTTTCTTGGGCGTCTGTGGCTCAGGAGGTAGAAGCAGTTTGATCCCCAGCACCTCCAGTCTGTGCTGAAGTGTCCTCGGGAAAGACCCTGACATACGCGAGTGTATAAATGGGTGAATGTGACTCCCAGTGTTAAGTGCTTTGTGTGGTTATTACTAGACAAACACTTCATTAATGCAGTCCAGTTAACATGTTATACATGTTGTATGAGGAAAGTAGTAACACATTCATTTATCTGTCGAAGGAAATAGTAACTCAAAGCAAAAGATTTCCATCCGGCCATCATCACATTAGGTCGGGGATTTTAATGGAGTTGTGATAAGTAGAAACATTTTTAGTTTAAATTACTTTTGTTTATTGCAGTTTTAGTAATGAATCGTAAAAGTTGCATAATAAAGTTTAGTTGTGTAGTGGTTACAAAGAGTTCAGTTCTTCACATTTAAAATCCTAATTTCGCTGCTTTAACAATGCCACTTCTTCAAAATACAAGTTTTGCAGTACAAAACACAGCTTCTCAGATCATAGTATATCACATATAAACAGGACATTCAGAAATGTAGATAAATATCTTTTGATTTCAGAGTAAAGCAGACGATGGGGATGAGTCAGTTCTTCTTCTTGGTCTTGGCTGATTCATTCCCAGACTTGCAGGTGGAGTTGTATGTGGAGGACAGCAGCATGGTGAGGAGCAGAAGCACAGGCACCAGCAGGTAAGGAGCATAGATGGAGACCAGCAGCCAGCGCTCCTGCACAGTCTGGGGCCCTGGGTGGGGTTTCATAGGGAACTGATAGAAAAGGATGTGGGCGAGGATCGGCACCAGCGTGGTGGCCACATGTGTGGAATACACGATGGCAGGAGTCCTGATCCACTTACAGCCACCTGACAAAGAGAACGTCAGACAGTCATGGACTACAGCCAGTTCTCCTCAAAGTATTCAAAATATATCCTTATATTTAAAATGATCCGTTTCTGGAACTTTGTATTAACAATGATTCCTTAAAGATACAGAAATGTTTCTGAGTCATCACAGAGATATGAATAACTCAATCTTCTGTCTCTGTTAATGGGACTGATAATAAAGACGCCTTCTCCAACAGATCATTGGAGCCAATAACACTTAGTGATTATCAATGGGAGCATTATTTGTACCTAAAGCTTAGGATGAGTTAATGTGAATCACAGATGAGACACAATGTGAACCGATGAGAAATCAACATGTGGAAATGAATATCAATCTTGTATTAGATTTGGGTTCAGTGATATTATTGACAGTGATGGTTTGATTGTGTGTCTTGGTCTCCACAAAGAATATTACAGAAAAGTCCAGACAGGTGAATTTTTGTTTATCTCGATAATACATCTAGATAATAACTTGTTCCCACACGATAAACATTTTGAGCACATGAGATAATTACCTTGTGGGAACAAGTTAATGTATGTGCAGCCAATGACTCTGATGACAATCACATGTGTCTGTACAAGAGCAACAAGAATTTAGTTAAATGAAATTGAAAAGCTGAGTTCTCTCCATCGTGGTGACTGTGTGCATCTGAAGTTGTTGAAGACACATCATGAATTTTTGCTAAATGATATGACTCTGTTGTCAGATAATAAAGAATATGATCTGTGGGTGTTGTGGGGCTCAAGTTTCATCCTGACACCATCTACGAACTCTTCCTCACATATTTCCAATCCTCTCCCAGCTTCCGTCTTCTTACCTCTCCCACAGTTCTTTGCAGCTGTTGGATCACACCTTCTTTCTAACTGTCTATGAGTTGTTGAGTTTTTATTCATGTGTACGTGTATTTCTGTTCCACGTTCGGTAACAACCCACTGACCTTTTAGGAAAGCATAAGCTGCGATGGGAAAGAAAGGAGTTTGCAACAGACTCTCGCAGAAAATGAAGGACTTGAACCAAACCGGAGGATCCAGCATCATGGGGTCTTTATACTCCTCTGCATACCAGCTCAGCAGATCCTTGAGCTGCAGGTGAGAAGGGTCCACATTACAGAAGAGTTCAGACAGCTGCAGGACAGCTGCAGGACAGGTGAGCTGCAGGACATGGTACCTGGTCTACTCACCGGCTGCGGGTACACGTGTCCGGGCAGCAGAGCCTGGAGGTCGATCAGTAATGTGATGGGGATGTGAGAGGCGAAGTAGAAGAAGAAGATGAGCTCCAACACACGGACAGACATTGTTCCTGGTTCAGTGACACAAGCGAAGAAGAAGTGAAGCTGAACTCACGGTGACTGTCAACATGTGCACCCCCCCCCCCCCACCATGACGTCACAACACCGCGTGTTGGCAGGGTGGATCCGATTGGTTCACAGCGAAGGATGGGGGCGTTCCCGGACGCACCATTCATCAACACATGAAGACTATTGGCTGCTCGAGACTGACCCGGAGAAAGGAGACACTTTAAGGAGTTAGGAAAGGAGAAGCTATTAGGAGTTAGGAAAGGAGAAGCTGTAAGGAGTTAGGAAAGGAGAAGCTGTTAGGAGTTAGGAAGGAGAAGCTGTTAGGAGTTAGGAAAGGAGAAGCTGTAAGGAGTTAGGAAAGGAGAAGCTTTAAGGAGTTAGTAAAGGAGAAGCTGTTAGGAGTTAGGAAAGGAGAAACTTTAAGGAGTTAGGAAAGGAGAARCTKTWAGGAGTTAGGAAAGGAGAAGCTGTTAGGAGTTAGGWAAGGAGAAGCTGTTAGGAGTTAGGTAAGGAGAAGCTGTTAGGAGTTAGGTAAGGAGAAGCTGTAAGGAGTTAGGAAGTTAGTGTTCTGGGTATTTGTGATTTGTCAATATTGGCGATAGAAATACAATTTGATCGATTGCACGAGTGATGAACATCGAAGTGAAACTTCTGTGACAACACACGACTTCATACAATAAGGAACACCAGAGATGAAAAGTAGAAGCGTGGTATATTTTATTTACAGATCCAGATGAGCCCATGAAAGTACATTACATTTACCGTCCACACGATATGACTCTACTTTCCTTTTTTTAATTTTTGATGGGTTGTTTATTCAAATATATATTTGAGACAGCACTTGAAAGACCAGATGCAGTGGAGCAGTCCAAACAGGGTGTGTGGGTTTCACATGTACATGAAACTGCTGGAATCTCTTTAGGTGTGATCTTCATCATCCAGGGTGACGCTGGCCGCTCGTAGATATTTAGAGTCATGGTATACAGCCTCTTCTGTCACCAGAAGCTCTGAACCATCGATTTCCACGTAATCCTGCGAAGAAGCGGAGAGGGAGGTTTTTTAATTCACCCACAACACACAACAAACCAAAACTATCTACCCCTGATTCAAAACTGTGATGTAACGTATGAGCAGCTCACTCAAAGATTTACATTTTCTGTCCCAAATGCTCGTTGTCTGACACAGGAAGTTGTGTTTTGGACATCGCCGAGATGTAAAGCGTCAAACATATAAACACATATAAAGACATATGTTCCATTCACACAGAGTTCAAAAGTCATGTCTCTATATCACAAAAATGAGCTTTAAGAATGAACACATGGATCTTAAAAATGTTTTACTCCTAAATGTAAATGATTTCTTTCATCTATGAGGATATTGGATCACACAACAGGATTTAAAGGTCATATGGTTTTATCTTCTAGATGAAGTTTGCACGAGGTTTCTTTTCTACATTTTGCACATTAAAACAAGGTGGTAAGATACAAGCTTGTATAAAAAAAGATCATGTAAACCATTTCAAACATGGTTCAGCCACACAGCTGTGTCTTACTGCATCATTTTCCAGGATGTCCTCCAGCGTGTGGACAATGTCTGTGAATGAGGGTCTCAGAGTGTGCGGCTCCCGCCAACAGCCTTTCATGATATGAAGTCTGGGGGGGGATCAGACATTTCAAATCATGTTACGAACAACTGGTTATAAAGATACAGATGTGATGATACAACCTGAAAAATAAGAAATTAATGAAGATCAAGTAAAACAGTGACAATTTACAGAAAACTATTTGTAATTTAATTGTTTTTCATTAAAATAAAGCAAATATTGTATGCAGTTCAAAAAAACTCTAAGTTTTTGAAACATGAAAGTGCACGAAACAAAAAATATGAATCATTATTATCCAGTTTTATTTTATGGATTTTTTTCCTCACATCTCTGGTCTGCAGCCTTCAGGGTTTGTGTTTTTGTGCCCGATACAGATGTGGTACACCACTGCCTCCGATGTCTCCAGGTCCGGGTACGGCAAGGTACCTGAAAATGAAACGTTCACATATGAGCACAATGACAAAATAAAGTACACATAGTATTGATTGGTTAAATCAACTTTTCCACTGTTAAAATACATTTTGCTTCTCAGGGTCTTTAGTTACTTGCTGTTGTTTTAAAGTTAAAGTGATGAGTTTGAAAAAATGCTCTGCAGTCAGTTGACGGGTCAACGATTGTCCCAAAGTGAATGAGATCTTATGAAGAGAACAACATGAAAATTTGTTTTGTGTTTGAAACTGTGTGAATCACAAAAAAACCTTTGACTGGATTCATGTTTTTTTAAGTTGTAAACCTGCCTGTTAGCTATTAGCTCAAACACAGATCCAATTATTTTGTGCCATAC